TTTATCAATCTTAATATCACTCATTTAAAAAAAAAAGATTTTTAAGCGTCGTCTACAATGAACAGTAGCAGTAGTGGCCGTAGACACGTCGAAAATAAGCTGATTTTCCGGCCCAGCCAGAAATGGCTGATCTATCAACGTCAAATCGATGCTGATTCAATGTCGCTCGACGTCAAATCGATGTCAAATCGATGCTGATTCAATGTCGCTCGACGTCAAATCGATGTTAATTCAATGTTGATCGATGATAATTCGATATTGAGCGCTCAATCACTTGTAGCTGGAGATGTAATAGAGCGTAGAGTAAGTCCGTAAGCGAAATAGATTTTAACTATTTTCCTTACGGACTTACTCTACGCTCTATTAACTATTACATCTCCAGCTACAGTCGAATTAACATCGATTTGACGTTAATCGATCAACCATTTCTGGCCGGAAAATCAGCTTATTCCCGATGTGTCCTACAGCCTCTACTGCTACTGTTCATTGTAGACGACGTTTTACACTACATACTTATAATTAAGCGACGTGCCAAGAATCAGGTAATTAATGATAGAACTTCACTGAAACTTAATTGCACAATTTCGGTGTTTCACTTATTCTCTTTATCAGTTAATATGTATATGTTTTCTTTTACATATTAATTAAAGTATGAGAAAACATAAGAAAACGATTATACTAACAATAATGAAAATATAAGAACCATCAAAGAATTGGTACCCCTCAATGTGTTCGAAAGATTAGAGCCGAAACCAGCGACTGTTTTGTCGGGGTTACTCACGGTGTCCAACAATATTTTTTTGGCACTCAAGTCAAATTCTTCGTTCCTTGAGGCGGTATCCTAAAGCCACGTGCTCACGACGTCATCGCGAGATCGACCAACCGCACAAACTTCTGGGCGGATCTTGGCAAACACGTGCGTTTCTGGAAGAAGCTTTTAATGATCTTGTATCGCGAGACGCGGGTAGCGACCACTAAACGGTGGTAATGAGGTGACTATAAATTTCTGTCACTGCCACGGAACGCCGTTTAATAATCATGATAGGTAGCAGATGCGATGTGAAATTAATTTAGTTATAAAGCTTAATAATTTAACAAAAAGAGCAGAAAAAAAGGGGATCATAGATTCTGACTACAAAATTATGTATAGTACATTTAAATAACAATGGCTAGATTAGACTTGAATTTAAAAAATACTTTTGTACATTATTATTATATCAAAATAAATTTAATTACGTATTTATTTAATTAAAGCGTAGCAGAAGTAAAGCTCACAAAATATATTAATTATTCATAAATATTTAATAACTATGTTATTATCTAATAAATAATTCAATAATAATATGATATTTAATACGTTTAATGAATTCGTGTCATTCATATCATTTTAAAATCACTATTTCGGTGAAAAATCATCTCTCGTAAAGCACACATTTACAAATTATCATATATCATAATGAGATCATTTTGAGTACGTTGCCTAAAATACGAAAAACTAGGTCTTCGATATATTATTAGACATCGTTAAGAAGCGGTGTCCCATGAATATCCATGAATTTATCAAACTGCTATTTGATATACTTGTTCCTTCATTGATGAATAATTAATAAAATTATTTTTTTTAATGATGATACATAAGATGAATATACAAAGATAACAAAATAAATTATATAAATTTCTTTCAAAATATAACGGTTAATACCTGCTTACAATTTCATTGCACAAATCAATTTTTTAAATCATTATATTTTAAATAATTTTCAAGCTAAAATATAATTTAAATTCTTTGATCACGATAAGAAGTAATTTTTTTACATAAAATTATATTTCTAAAAATATTTGCCTAGATCAAAAATCGAGAACTATTTTATTTGATTTAAAACAAGAATTTTATGAAGCGCGGACGAAGAGTTCTCTAGAAACTGTCAATGGGTGTGACTGCAAGATCGTGTTACCGATGTATAGTACCACTCTGATAGGCTGTTGCCGTTTCACGCTCAGAAAATTGAAACCTTCGCGGTGGCTGGTGAGCCAAAATGTTCGTTAATTTCACGCTTAATTGGCAAGTAGTAAGTGCAACAGTTAAAATATATCTTTATTCCTCTTAAACACATCTGCCGCATGATACGCGACTCGGAACGACAGGTTCCTCGAACATATTTTTGGAGTCATGTTTCAACACATGAAAAATCTTGCTGTATTTGCAGTCATATGTATGTTAATTATGTACACACATACACACACACACACACACGCGCGCGCGCGCGCGCACGCACGCATGCACGCACACACATATATAAAGTTGATATTGCGCCATGTTTAATACGTAAATATTACGTGCATATTTCGTTAAGTTCACGGAAAAGGATTTAATTTAATAAAAACGAGATAATGCCATGAACCTGGTTTATTTCCTTAGGCATTAAGACAAACCTGCATTTTTTATATTCTATGTTCAATTATTATTTTCAGAAAAAATAACCATCCCTAATTATTACTTTCACAAAGACTTTTACATATATGGATTCCGGTATCTAGTTATTTTGACTATGTATGTAATTATCTTGACTCATAATTACACTCCTATTATGCTATTAAATATAATGAAAAAAATAATAAATCAATAGAGTAGCCTCACGCGAAGTACCACACGCAAGTGTTACACGCGCAAGACACGGACCGTGTATCTGTACACTATTAATATCAACAAAAAGTATATTCGTTGAATATTAATATAATTAATCTAATCATTATTTTTCTTTAACAACACTCGGATAACATTCCATTATTTTATCCGAGATTGAAAAGATTTTAATCTAATAAAAAAAAGAAAAGGAGAACAAACTTACATCATCTCATCGAACTCTCTCTTATAATAAAAATAACTGATATTAAAATTTAAAATATCTAAAATCAAGACATTTCCAAAACTTTTGTGATTTGCACGTTAGTATTTACGAACCTTTTCGCATTTGGTCCATGTATCACTTGTGGCTCAATACTTCCACGATCTTTTCTCTCATAAAATGTACTATCATTTATTATAATGCATTGATGTTACATTTTAGCATTATAATAAACGTTATATTACGATAAGAATCCAGATAATGTTCACATTATTGTTAATTGTGAAATATTAATTAATAAATATTCATTCTTGCAATGCTACTGACATGTGTTACCATGATAGAACTCACTCGTTACAACTTAATGCTTGTGCATTAATAAAGAATATGTTGCAGATAAATTTTGGAGTTATACAACAAAAAGTGAGAAGTGTTGAATATTAATTACAACATAATGATTTATATAACGAGAATAGTAACTGATTGAATAGCGATTGCAACGCTATTCCTTGCTGGAGCGAGATTTGTGTTCCTTTACATTTGCTGCGTAGAGTTACCATTCCAAGTATTATTCTCATCATTATCATCCCCACCTGAATGTAGTCTGTGTATATTCCCTTGTGCTCTGATTGTTGTCCCTCCTTGATTACCCAAGTATCTTCTAAACAAACTGTATCATGAATAGAACGTTTATTTAATATATGAAATAAACATTAAATTAATTACATATTTTATATACAATTTTGTTAAATATATTCAAATATAATGCAAATGCATGTAGCTTTATAATCACGCTTGTGTATGTAAGACTGTTTAACATGTGTTTATTGAAAAAAAAACCTACCCCGAAGATTGAACTACATTTCGCCGATTTGGTGAAATAGCTCTGTCGGGGTTGTTTGTCGTTTCTACGGAATCATTGTTGGAATCGCCACTTTGATTCGCGTCTCCATTAGTGCCGGAAAAGTAACCTACTATATAATTGTAAATACGAATAACGGGTGTGAAAAAGGACCATATGAAGCGTGAGAAGAATCCAACATCTTGAGTTGAAGTTACCACTGCCGTGACATTAGACTGGAAAAATATAAGAAAATATAAAGTGAATATAATTAAAACTATAATACTTTCAAAAGAAAATCTTATTCTATTTACATTTTTCAAAGGAAGAATTAAAATAACGGCGGTCGGAACCAATTCTAATTCCAACAAAGTTTTGTCGTTTTCCTCATTAGTCAATTCTCTTCTAGGAAATGATGTCGACATGGCGAACTGTCGGAAGGGTAGATTAATATTTTCGGTAACGTAGGTGCGTAAGGTGCGCAAAGTATCGGATGGTTCAAATTGTCCTGTATGAGAATTGCCGGATGGTAATCTAAATTGAATTCTGGTCACTGTAGCGTTACTAAGTGTTGGATTATATTTGGGTTGTTCTTGATTCTGTGGTTGTATTTGTTGCTGTTGAAGAAAATAAAAAAAACTCTTAGTTGATTCTAATTAAATATAAAAATCATTAACGATTAAAATAATTAAAACGATTAAAATGATATTAACCTGTAAAGCAAGTTCCTTTTGTTTTCGTTCTAGTTTATCTTGAGCGATTTGTTGCCTGACTTTTTCACGAGCTGCAGTCTCTGCAGCCTTCTCTCGCATCCTTTCTTCATGAGCTTGCTTTATTTCTAACTCTTGCTGCATTTGCCGCATTTTTTGCACATCACGTCCCATCTTACGTCGTTCAATTTCACGTTCTCGTTCCTTTTTCTGCTCCTCGTCTAGTCGTTGTTTTCGTTGGAGCTCAATTAACTGTCGTGCTCTTTCAATCTTTTCCTAGAAATATGAGCAGATATAATTTGTCATTCAAAAATTATATAAATATTCTTGATAAACAAATTCACACACCTCAGCTGTCAATTCTTGATTTTGATTATCTTGTTTAGTTTCAACATTTATTTTTGCTGACGCTTCATTATTGTCTTGATTCCCTGTGTTTAATGAAGTTGCAGATTTTGCTGTATCTTCCGTGACATAGTTTTCGTTATGTGAACTATCTACTGGTGTAACAGACTCTGTTGTACCAGAAGTTAAATCTGCATTTGAATTAGAATTATTATCATTTATATTAGATGTAGTCTCAATAACATTGTTATTACTGCTGCTACTGGCAGCTGTAGCTTTTTGTTCTGCGTCAATCAAGTTTATTGAAGATTGTTTATTACTCTTCCCTGCCTTTGTAAGTACATTATCAATTTTGTATGCTAATTCAGATGCAGTTGCGCTACCAGCAATAATTTCCAGTGGTGTACCATTTTCTCCAATAAAAAATAAGGATGGAACTGGTACTAATTGATCTGATTGTTAAATTTAAGGAAAATTTTTAAATGTAATAAACATAAATAATACTAAAAATAGAAAGATAAATGTTATATAATATGATAAACTTAATATTAAAACAGAAAGATATAAATGTTATATAAGAGGATACAAATTTGCGCAAAGAATCTATAAGCTTCGGATCCACTCTCTAATCTTATAGCTATAAAATGCTCTCCTTCTAGGCGGGACGAGACTTCTGTAGCATCAATTGCTTGAGCAAGTTGCACTGATGTGTCATCTTTGCCTAAAAGAACATTATACTAATATACTATCTATATATACTGTCTCAATTTATGTAAATATGGCTGATTTATTGAAGTATCCATTTTGTGCATTTCACATATCTCATGTATTCGTACGTTATATGTATATATTTATATGTATTAGATTAAAAAGATAATTTCGAGTTGGATCAAACTAGAGTCAAATCTAACCTAGAATTTGGATTACATACCTTCTACGAATACAACGAAAACTGCCTTCCTCGATTTTGACGTCGCAACCGCCTCGTTAATACTTCCCGCAAACCACTTCATTATATGAGAATATTCGTATATTTCGTTTCTTTATAATCTCTAACAATATTGATGACGTAACGAAAAAACTGCGGAGTGAAACACTAGAAATTTTGCGATGGTTTGACGTTTCAAACGGAGTAAGGTTCAGATAGGTGTACGATGAGTCGTCACTCTCTACTGTTACCTGATGACGACAATGATCTACCCCCACCTATCACTAAATTAAATGTGCATTTTTTATTGTAACTTAGTGGAATATTTATTTTCCAATTGGCATATTTTAATAACTCATTTGATAAATATATGTCAATATAAAAAACAAAGTGCTTTATTTTTTCTGAATAATTGGACATATAATATCATTGGTGGCAAATCTGGACTATTTTTTAGAGTTAATAAAATCTTATTTGTTATAAACTAAATCTAATATGAAGAGTCTTAAAAACGTTCACAGAACTGGATCTTATAGCTTTCGAACGTCTTAAAAATGAAGTATGCTATGTAGAGATGTATAATAATCTTTGTTAGACATATAATCAGGGCTGAATTAAAACTCATGCCGCCTCTATTTTATCGCAATTAAATCGTTGTCGCCCTTATTCAGGCCCGTCCAGTTTTAGATCAACATTTTGTTTATCAACACTTTGCAATCCTTTGAAATCTTACTCATATTGAATTTTTTGCATCGATGGCTTTATGTTTTAGATCAGGGATCCTATTCACATACAAATAATTTTCGCATACGAAAATGACAATTTCTCGATTGTAATTGATCAATTAGTATATAGAATTGCTATTTTCGTATGCGATATTTATTCTTTAAGTATATAGATTCGAAGTATTTGTTCAAGAATAGGGCTCCTGGAGCTCGAATTGGACAGGCCTGTCTTATTCAAGCCATTCAAGCCTTAAGCCGAATCTACATTGGTTGTACCGTAGGCATTACAAGTCGCAAATTGTGTCAACCAATCCGATGCGTTAATTTTAAAGTCGTACGACGTCTGCGACGCTACGATCAATGTAAACTTCTAATTTATTAGAAATTCTTTTCAAAAATGCCACCCCTCTAAATTTGCCGCCTTCATGTAAGTTAACCTAAGCGCTAATACATTTGTCGATCTAGTTAAATAAATCATTGTGATTTATTGATTTTTTTCTAATATTTTTATTATAAAGATAACAAATCGGATTAAATAAAAAACAAGTGTTTTAGAACTACTTAATAAAATATATCAACGTAAAAATGTTGTGAACCATTTGCTATCATTTATATATTATAGATACTTGCCTTTTTATTAAATGGACAAAATCGGAGCAACTGTTGCTCGTTGCGAATGCGCCTGTAAACAGCTCGCAATTACGTAGTTATGTCGTGAACAAGAAACGTCGGACTAGAACCATTTCTGCTCAGTCTGTACTATGTAAATGATGTCGCAGTAACTTACGGGAAACGAATTTCTTATTGTTTTTATTAATCTTACGACTCTGAGTGAGAACACATTCCCCAAGAATGGCGCAGTATCTGAAAAAAGGTGCGTATAACCTATACTGATGTTTGTCAACTATGATCACATGTCGCTCTCGAATCGAGGAATCGTTCGGCACGTTAGAGGTATCCGAGGGTGGTGGTGGAGGTGGTGGTCATGTGCGCCGCCATTTTATTCAATTCCGTCGTTTCGGCTGTGCGACTGCCGACTACGACGGAACGGTGGAATGAAATGTTATAATGGCGAGTGCGTCTATTCCGCATATTTGATGTCGCGATAAAGTTGGGCGTACGCGTCTGCCTTATCGGTTGTCCTGTTAAGATTTCAACACTCGCGGACGTTCTCGTCAAGCCGTCGTGTCGACGGCTCGACTTACGGATAAGTTGCTTCATTACTGAAGGTCGCAACGTGCCGACGCGCTACGTATGTGAATCATACTCGGAGATATGGAGAGATGCGACTCGAGTAACACGCGATAATCGCGTTACTCACATCAATTCCGCGACACGCTACATTCCGGAACACGTGTGACGGCACACGCGCGTCTCGGTGACGAGCCGACGGACGTACATTTTTTAACGCAATTTCGCCATTGTCGCGTAAACCGTCGTGCGTAATTCCTCGTGCGTATATACATCTGCGCGTTGCTCATTTCTTCATATAATATGATATTGGAGCGAGCATGAAGGTAACCGTGTGCTTCGACAACGTCAGGGTGGTGGTCCCGTGCGGAGATGGAAGTTTACTGGTGAAGGAGCTAATGCATGAGGCCATTCTGAGATACAAAAAAGCCACTGGCAAAAATGATAACACCTTGACCATCAATAGTCTGTCTTCGTTGACTGGAGGTGGCTTACTGGATCCGGATGACAGATTGTGTGACGTAGCCGATGATAGAGAACAGATCGTAGCTCACTTTGCCAGCTCCGACGTCAATCACGTAGGTGGAGATGGTGCAAGTTCGGTTGGCACCAACAGTCCTGACTTCTTTCACAGAGATGTCAAGGAGCAAGCTTATCCAATCGATATCCATTCCTCTGTGTCTAGTAGTATTAAGAGAGAAAGTGCCAAACGTCTGTCAATGCACGCATTGTCAACGAGAGAACCTTCTCTCACAACGTATTCTGCTCAATCTCTACCAAGAGAGTCTCGACGTAGGGAACCTTTAGGTCAAGATTCTAAAGCTTCGTACGAATTTGGCAATAACATCGAATCTGGAAATCAAGAGGTGCGAGAAATAGTGATAAAAAATGAAGCAGGGCCACTGGGGCTCCATGTGGTGCCATGTTACGACTTATTAGGCAATGATCAAGGACTTAGAGTCGAAGGTATCGAACCAAATGGTCGCATCGCCAGAGACGGACAAATTGATTTACATGATAATATTATAAAAATAAATGGTCATAATTTGTTGCATATACCATTTCCAAAGGTCCAAGATATTTTTAGAACATGCATGAATGATCCTTGTCTACAAATTTCCATTGTTAAATATAAGAAGAAAGCGAGGAATGAAAAATCTTTGCATAAAAACCATGGGAATACCAGTGGCGGATCGGAGAAAACCGAAGGCGATGAGAATATCAAGAGACTTCAATGCAGCAACTATAATCTTTTACAGACTGCGAACACTAGAAAAATTGGACGGATGATAGAAATAGAATTAGTGAAAGGAGGTAATGGTTTAGGATTTAGTGTTACCACACGTGATAATCCTGCTGGAGGACATTGTCCTATATATATTAAGAATATATTACCAAAAGGTGCTGCGGTAGAAGATGGCAGATTGAGACCGGGTGATAGATTGTTAGAAGTAAATAATAAGGAGATGACGGGCAAAAGCCAAGCAGAAGTCGTGTCATTGCTCAGAAGTATTCCTGCTGGTGGTAAAGTAAGGATGGTAGTATCGCGTCAAGAGGAAATTTCTTCAAACATTCCAGATTCTCAGGGTATTGCGCCATCTGTTCCTCCGACTGCTGAAATAATGGATAATTCAAAATATTGGAATGCATTAAATAGATCACCAGCGAAAAAGAATGACGTGCAAGATAAAGTGAGCACTCACAATTACGAGAAGTGCACATATAAACCAATTAAGTCCTCTGAGGATATTGTTTTATCTCCACGGAAGAATCGTGTGATAATGAACTTAGATATACCAGTACATGATTCCGAGAAGGCTGGTTTAGGTGTTAGTGTTAAAGGCAAAACCAACAGCTCTGATGATAATACTAACATGGATTTAGGTATTTTTATAAAAAGTGTTATCCATGGAGGTGCAGCATCCAGGGACGGTCGTTTGCGGACCAATGATCAATTGCTCAGAGTTAACGGCGTATCTTTGTTGGGATTATCTAATTCTGAAGCAATGGAGACTTTAAGGAGGGCAATGCTTAACACAGACAGCTCAGTAACTGGTGTGATTAATCTTATAATAGCTAGGAGGGTATCATCGTATGATACAAGTGAGAAAAATACTGTAGATAATTTACAATCTCACCGTAAGCCAGAATCTGTTAGTAGCATATACATATCGGATTCTACGAAAATGAATGATGGTATAGTCAAGGAGAAAAACACTTTAAATTCTCAAACCGATGTATTGGATAATGGTGGATTATTATCTTGCGTGACAGCTTCGCCATGGAATCCTGTCATTGACAGACTAACGGAGCAATATAGCAAGAGTAGTTTAAGAAACGAAAGTTATTGTCTTGCTACAAATAAGACATGGATAGAACCTATTAATAATGTAAAGAAAATTATAGGAACGCGCGACGATCGGGTTGAAGCAGTATTGCTAGAAGAATCTAACAACGATAGCTCTCAAGGAAATGACACCAAACGAAATACCGAGGATAAAGACAGCCAATATTCCGGAGATCCTACGTACGACAGCCAGTTATCTTTGGAAGAATTAAATTCTTCGTCAAATAAGTTTTCTCGTGACGCTCTTGGCAGACAGAGCATGTCTGAGAAACGACACGCAGCACTTGATGCTAAAAACACAGATACCTATAAAAGAAACAAAAAGTTGCGTGAAAACAGAGAAAATAAGAATGCGGATCAAGTCAATCAAAAATCAACTAGCCAAACAAGTAATCACTCAAGCGATTTGGGAGATTACTCGAAGAGGAGCAGCAAGTCGAACAATTTTGAGAAACATTCAAGTAAAGGGGCCTTAGCTGGAAATACAAGTGCCGACAACAATGTGAGACACCATGAAAAGTCTGTTGATGTTGCTCAATCGGAATATATGTATACTATACCCGGATGCAATAATAAGTTTCTTTCGCCGAAAAAACATTGGCTCGTAGACGATGTACATGATGAAGTTACAAGTAGCAATAATACTAAAGATGAGCGAGAAGGTTTTTCGAATAGTCGCGGAGATGTAAAGCAAGCTTCTCTTAATTCAGCATTGGATGACCGATATAAGCGGAAGAAAAACGGTCTTCGATCGATACTTCGATTGAACAGAAATAGGAAATCACTTAATTTTGGGGATAGCATAGAAGCGAGGCACGAAACTAGTAATTACTGCAGCGGCAGGATCAGTTACATCGCATAAATGCAAAGAAAATATGCAAAATAAATTTTCATAAGTAAATAATATATATATATATATACACATTATCGCGCATCTGCAAATATATACACATTTTGCATATATATAAATATATATTT